TGATCCATTTGTCTGATAATTAGTCTACGTGACAAGCTAATAAGCTTGCACACTCATACATATGACAAGATAATAAAGTTAAAATAATCTCATGACACATTGTTTTCTGATCCACAAATCAGAGCTCCTGTATCTGAGGTTGGTTGGTAAAACCTCTTTACATGTCAAATTCTGGTTGAAAATAGTCTCCTACACCGATCTCCTGTTAGCTTCTGATAGAAAACAGACGGTGAAACTCTAGGATTAAAAATCCTGACAGATCTACATCACACTGTCACTAGCATTCATGGACTCACCCATCTTGAGTCACGATGGGGAAGGCTGTTGTTGGTTTAGCGTCCAGAAAACAGCAGAGAACGTCTCGGCTAGGAGAAGCTAACCTTTAGCATCATCAACTCCATCACACAGCAAAAGCTCCTCCAGGCTTGTGTTATTTGTGGAGATGAAACATCAACGTTGCAGGGCAAACAGAGTCACTGGTAGAATTGCATTGTTAGCCAATCAAAGGAGATATGTCCAGATATCAGGAAGTAAAACTCTAAATCCTGCGCGTTCGGCTCCCCACTCCTACTACCTGAAACAAGAGCCTGGAGTGTTTTTCCCCAGAGAGATATTCATTAAAAAAATGACTCTACACTACGAGACTACTACAAATATGTTGAAAAAATGGGTGAACTTACTCTTAACTCCTCTATAAAAACAGGGAGTTTTTTTATTCGGGGTCCAGATCCTGTCGTCTGTAGCAATACCTCCTCCGGCTGAATTCTCCATGCTGAAACAGGAGAACCGGAGCTTTTTTTCCTCCGAGTTTGACATGCAAAGCATTCATTCCTCCTAGAGACCACTGTAAATGCATTTATTACATGAGTGTTTGATTTGGTTGTTATACACTCTTCGGAACATGGTGATCTCTGCAGGACCTCCCGTTAGGAACGGTAGTGGTAATAGTGCATGAGAGGCAACGGTTCGGAGCATGCACAAGGCAGCTCTAGTGACGTCACGAGGGTTCATTATTGCAGTAGGAGCTTCTGTGGGTGGTGGGACTGGCCATGAGCACCATGCTGAAGGTTTGATTTTTTAGGGTGTAGCTGCACCCTTCATTTGTGCATTGGCACAACAGAACTTCAACCTTTTGATGAAAATCACGATGAATTATAATTATTACAAAAGGCGAGGCTGACAAGAAAAATGCAGACCTTTTCACAATTAAAGCTCCACAAATCAAAGTGCTGGATGCATGTCAGCAATTCTGGGTCTCCTTAGATTCTGAACCCTCACAGAAGGATCAGCGCTCTCATCTCCTGAGTTCTCTTCAAAAGCTGTACAACCTGTTTTTACTGCTCCCCACTCATCTTGAGGTAGAGACTACAAAACACTCATTTCCACCAATGACCCAGCCTGTGAACAGAGGAAGAGCCACGCTGCATTTTCCAAAAGCTTTTTACTCGCTTATTAAAAGCTCACTTCTCCCACCGCCATCTTGAGTGCCCCCTCACCACCACCGACACCCCACCCCCCTCTTCCCAGTCCTCTGCGAGCAACAATAGTCTATTCTGTGCCGTCCCGTGCGACTGGAGACACACCCAACGCCAAGGCCGCGGTGCGAGGGGAGACTGCTGGCCAACAGCCAGCCAGAAGACACACTGGCTCGATTCTCGTCTGGGAGAAAAAGGGTCCTTCCTCAACTCGGTGGGGGAGGCGGGATGGTTGGGGATCAGTGAATTCCCCAACAGGGCATCATGTAACCCAAAGGGAGCGTCTGCAGGTTCGTGGAGGCCCTGAAAGCCCCCACCTCCTCACTTATCACAGGATGCTGCTCCATAGAGTCACTCTACTGACCTATGATGACAATTAGTTTCTGTGTCTCACAACTGGAGAGTGACACACACACACACACACACACATTCTGTTGCCTCCTCTGATAAGGCCAACCTCGCTTTATTGTCTGATAACACAAATATGACACACCAACACACTGCGGGTCCGCACCGGCCGGCCTAATTATATAATTATCCCTTGTCTGATGGCAGCTGAGACGAGGGAGGGCTTTGTGTGGCCGCTGGAATGTGGTGCACTTGGCATTTTTCAGCAAAAGGGCAGTTTTCTGGATGGCAGTGCCAAAGAGAGCAGCTGAGGGTGAGATCACAGCTGTCGGTGCCCACTCCTCCCTATCTGTCTGTAGATCTGGCTGTCTGACATCTGGACAGCCCCGGCTCTCTAATGCTGTCCAGTCACCGAGACGATGGGTTTCACCCGCGACTCTGTGCATTCTGGGTAAAAACAGAGTGTCTGTTAGTGAAATGTGCCACTAACTATCAGGAAGAATTTAATTAAACTCTCAAAAATTCTTCATTGAATGTACGATTAATTCACATGCTGAGTCAGCCTGATTGAAGATGGCTGCCACATGCCTGGAAAACCTCACCAGGGAGGCGTCCAGGAGGCATCCTGACCAGAAGCCCGAGCCACCTCAACAGGCTCCTCTCGATGTGGAGGAGCAGCGGGTCTACTCCGAGCCCCTCCCGAATGACCGAGCTTCTCACCCTATCTCTAAAGGAGAGCCCAGCCACTCTTCTGAGAAAACTCATTTCGGCTGCTTGTATCCGCGATCTCGTTCTTTCGGTCACTACCCAAAGCTCATGACCATAGGTGAGGGTAGGAACGTAGATCGACCGGTAAATGAATGATAAATGATAAATGACCCGCACTTGTATAAGTATGAAATATATAAAAATATGACGATTTGACCAAATTGGCTAGAACTCCATAAAGCAGTGAGTTCTGTAAGTCTTTAATTACTCCATCTTAGGAGGGATGTTGCTATCCTCTGCGCACACACACACACACACACACTGCAGCCTCTCGACGCCGGCTACCTAAGCAGCAGGATTTTGGCCTTCGACGATAAGAGAAGCCATGCTTCTGAGGGGCTGCTGCTCCGGTATCTGATAATGCACTCAGAGGCGGCCGCTCCGCCGCAGGATGAGAAAGCGCTGCTTTTGTTTGGCCGTAAAAAGCTGTCGCGCGGATAAGAGAGAGCCGAGCGCGAGCAGGTGTTAGGAGAGATTACGGCGTAGGCGTAGGGAGCGTGCGCCTCCTTGAATCAAAACCAACATGTTCTCACACACTCCAATAAAAGATCCAGACCTTTTCCTGACATTTCTGTCACGGGCCTCCATTAGTCTTTGCACAACACTACTTGTGATTTTATGAGTTTTAGTGCTTTGTCAGAAAGGCTTTTCTTCCCACTAATGAAAACAGCGGGGTTAATGGTATTTTGGCGCCAAACCTCGGCTTAGGAATTCCTCCCAACGAGCTGCTGTGTAATTTAGGAGCAGGGTGGAGTTACAACACCGCCTGCAAGGAGCAAAATATGAGAATAATCTGAAGAATTCAAGACATATGAAACAAAACGGTGTGTGTGCATTTTAGAGACCTGCCAGTCAAAATGTTTGGAAAGCAGAAGATTGTGTCGCTAATTGGCTTCAGTAAATAAATCCATAAGGAACCTGCAGCAGCACTGTTGAACTCAGAGGAAGAAACTCCCCACGCTGTCTGCAGCACGAGGACGTCTGAGAAATCCCCATCAAATTCCAAGCTGCCTCCCTGATCCGTGCGCCCGCCCCCACCGGTCCGTCACGCAGCACGGAGTATGTGAAAGAATGCTGTCAGGACCCGGGAGCAACAAGGGCCCGCTATTCCCATCTCCAGCTGATTATCTTTATTGACATAAACAAAACATGAGGAACTGCTTATCTCCAAGTGTCACTGGGACGGTACCAACAAGCCCCAGGACGATTTGTCTGAACGCACACAGCCTTGGATAGAAGTTGGAGGAAAGTGTGTGCCAACTGTCAGCATGGCTGTGAGAGCAGCATTGTTTACCTCGTTTGAACCGGACCCCTGACAAATCTCTGTCTAAACTATAGAGAACGGGTTGGCACAGAACCAGGGACGCATTTTCCCATCAGCTGAGCCTTCGCCAGCAAAGAAGGCTCAACGGCACTCCAAGTGTTGCTGTCGTTCACTTTTAGAATTATTATTTTTGAAATCCGCTGAGTTTCACATGCAGGCTAAACGTGAGACTGGTCTTCTACCACGATTTCCAGCATTAGCCACCGACGGAAAACAGGACAAACGCTCCGATTGGACAAACCAGCAAAAAGCTCGTCATAATGTCAAATTAACATTCGTGGACTCGACCATCTTGGCTCGCAACAAGGACGGCTGTTTCTGGTTTAGCGTCCAGGAGAGAGAAGAGGATGTTTGAAGTAGAAGAAGCTAACAGTTAGCATTAGCAACTCCACCACAAAGCAGAACTCCTCCAGGCTTGCGTTACTTGTGGAGATAAAAAATACATCAACGTGTCAAAGTCAACAAAGTCAGTGATAGAGGCACGTTACTGTTAGCCAATCAGAGGACAGATGTCCGAATATCAGGAAAAAAAGACTCCTAATCTTGTTGTTTCCTGCTCCCCTCTCCTCCGGCTAACCCCTACTTCTTGAAACAAGAGCGCCAGAGCTTTTTTTCCCCACAAAGATAGACTCACAAGATATTAATTGATACTAGACCACTGCAAATGTGTTGAGAAAAACAAGTGAATTTGGTCTTTAAAGTTGTTCTAACAAATGTGCAAACAAGCTAGGTTTTGAACGTAAACACGGTCACGGAACACTCACCCCACAAGACAGCACTGAACTCCAGTCAACGTTTTCCACGTTCGAACTTCTATTGTTGTCTGTGACCTTAAACTGTGCTTTTCTTCTTGGGACTCTGGTAGTTTGTCCTATAGTTGAAGTGGTAGCAGCCAGCTGTTTCTCCTTCCCTGACGTTCCTGAGCAGAGAACCTCTCACACCAGTGGTGTCCTGAGTGGAGGACCCAGGAGTGTGCAGAACCGCAGTTCAGCGCGACCGACAACGGCATGGTAATAGATGATTTCGGTCCAAAACGTGTAATTGGTGGAGGTTTTTAGACAAATGCAAGAAAACTACTTCATGAATTTTTCTTGTTTTTAATCATCACAATAAATGTATAGCTACAGAATGTTGTTAAGGGTAGAAGCCGACCATTATATCCAACTTTTTCGATGTTGGCCAAAATTACATTTAAAAGCCGATATATATTTTTTTAAATGAGGCATATATGTGGCCAACTGTCGCCACTACTAGACTGCAGAAAAGACCCGAAGGACCCCAACACACCATTTTTTTATGTTTTGAGTTTGTTTCACATTTGAAGTTCAATAAATATTAGATTTATTGACTTGTTTATTTTATTTTTGCACACAGTGAGTGTTCAGGGCTCTTTCACACTCAGTGTGCTGCTAAAACGTAAATCTATCGGCGACAAAATTCTTTAAAAATCTGGATCAGCATCGGCCTTAAAAAAAACATATGAGTCGGCCTCTGGTTAAGAGACTTGAAAAAAAAAACGTTAGAGCTAATATTTTTTTATTTGCCATAGCAGCTTAAACTTCCCTATAAAAACAGGGGCTTTGTCAGTCAGGAGCATACAGGTGTGTGTTAACACAGTCCCAGGGAGGAAAGACACAACTGTTGCTGTGCATCGACCTCACAAAGGTTAACATTTATTTCCTGGTAGTTTGGAGTTCAGTATTTTACAACAAAAATAGTCAGTTACTACTTTTCCCCAAAATGTAATGGCTCCATCTCAGATGCCACAGGCCTCTGTTTAAGGGTCAAGTTCTTCGGAGAACAACTAGAACAAGACTGGGGTGGAAGAGCTGCAGACAAATGAACTCTTCTCCTAGAAGAGAGAGGGAAAGAAGACATTTTTGGAGAAAATCAAACAGCCAGTGGTGCCTCCAGAAAAGTTAGCCACGGGGCCAGAGAAATTTTTAGGTGGCACACCATGTTGATGCAATAAAGTCTCCTTTATTCGTTTTCATCAAAAAAAAAAAAACATTAATTTGACTTATTAAAGAACACTGGCCTTCCCTGGGTGTGGATAGTGGGGTGGTCAGCAATTTTCTGAGAGGGTGCTCGCTGCAGAACTACAAAGGCGGAGCTGCACCAGAGTCAGTCCCGCCCATTCACGCAAACTCGGCCTAGCCTACTGACTCCTGTTTTTGTTTTTAACTTTTTCGCAAACTAACCTGACCCACATGAATTACGGCTGTTACTAGTTTACAGTTGTTAATGCTATGTTCTATGCTCCAATTAAACAAGATAAATATAACTTGCTACATGACAAAGCCTGAATATATCCCAAATATCTGCCCACAACCGCTCCAACAAAAGGGTGTTACAACAGCGGTTTGGGCCTTCATGTGGGTTCTGGTGGTCCAATGGCAAGATCATCTGGCTTACATTTTGCTTTCCCCTCAGCTGATGCTGGCTCGACTCTCGGTGGGGTCGGCAGCAATCTATTTAGCCAGCTGAAACATTTAATTTTTTTATATTTTAGTTTTAATGTTTATTTTCTGCAAAATATTTATGTCTCTAAAAGTTCTTTGAATTTGGTCGTTCCTAAACAGCATTTTAGTTGAAACTGCTCACAAATGGATTCACACTGGCTAAATAAACAACTAAATAAAAAAGATAAACACATTAGTCATTATATTTTAAACAGTATACCAATAAATGGTTGTAAACATAGTACTGGCAAGTGTAGCTAGAAAAGAAGAAAAAGGGTTAGAAACTACCTTTTTACTGCCGCTACTGGGAGGTGAACCTGCACAAAATTGTATACCAATCTGACTCCACAACCACTTCACCACTACATCTGATAAAATGCAAGTGGCGTTACATTTGATTGTGCCATCCAGTGTGTCTTCGTAGATGGGGATGTATGGTTTTTCTGGCGCTGTCTCAGTAGAAGTCATTTCAGAAATAATTTGTCAGAAAATTCACAGAATATCCAGATTTGAGAACCAAGACCAGACCCGCTTCGGGGGAGGAGACGAAATTGAAGCTGAGATGGGAGGAAAATGCATGAATGAGGCTAAAAATGGCTTTGGTGTGTTTCTTATGAGGAAATGACAACATAACATGGTAAAAAGTTCCAAAAGTTAGATTTTTAATTATATGGAACCTTTACAAAAACTGTTCAATTAACTTCTCAACTCCGCCCTCAAGCTTGCATTTTAGATGATACTAGCTAGAACACCCTCTTTGGTTCCAGAATGCTATCAAGTCTGACAACTGGAAGGAATTGGACTGACTCTGATGGAATGGGCGGGGCTTACTTTGTGCAGCCCCACCTTCTGGTGCAGCTCCGCCTTTGTGGTTCTGCAGCAAGCGCCACTTGAATTTTCTTGGGTTGACCATGGCCACCTCTGGCCACCCCTTGTGGACACCACTGCCAGTGGCTCGTACCAGCCGACCTTGGTTTGGGCGCTTTGCTGCAGAACTGGAAGACCTTATCTTCTGTTTGAAATCACATTTCTTTATGTGCCAAGTAATCTGAAAACCCTTCTTCCTTCACTATGAGTCAGCTGACAGATGGAGGACAGGCTCGTCCTGGCAGGAACGGTTCCTTCTCTAATCAGAAGTTCATTTCATAATAAAGAGATAAAGGACTTTCTAATGGACCCAGGCTAAAATGGTTATCTGTAGAGTAAACAATATAAACAAGTGTTTAAATGTTCACAACATGAGTTTATGATTATTAAACATTTTGTTTAAACAGGATTCCTGAACAAAGATGAATAGCGCCCCCATGTGTTCAGATGCATGTACTGCACTCTTATATTGAACCTTTACATCCACCTTCATGCAAAAGCAGAAAAATCACTGATGCTCAAAAGCAAATGAGTCGATCTGCTTCATTAAAAATAAACACACAATTCTGGGGGTGAAAATGACTCACAAGGCAAAAAATCTCAAGACTAAACATTTTATATGGCAAGTGTTACATTATCTATAGACATGATGAAGCCAGTTGATGTCTCTGAGATGATGTTGGGTTTAACAGGGCATGTGTAAAGCGTGGTGGTTTATATGCACCGGTGCAGGCATGCAGCACTCCTCCTTTAGTGTGGGCATCTGTACGGTGAGGTAGCAGCGCTCTATGTGTCTGAACTCCGTAGCAAACAGGCCGAAGAGCAAGAACGCCAGCATGACGAAGATCCACTCACAAAAAGCTTTTTGGTGGCAAGATGTCAAGAACGCTACTGAGAGGAGAGTTAAGGATCAACGTTAATATTTCACATTTCAGAGTCAAAGGTTTGATTGGATTCATTCGTTAAAGGAGCAAAAATATCAGGTTATCTTTGAAATTCCCTTTTTGTTCTTCAAACCTGAAACATCTCGGTGTCGGCACGTTCCCTTTTCCTACAGCGCGTTACATAAATACAGTTTGTGCCGTCACCCAGAAGAAACTCGGGGAAATGAAATAAGGTTCCAAAGAGGAATGTTTAGGATGCGACTCCAGATCAATTTTAAGTTGTTCTGCTCCGGATTAGAGAGAAAGCACCTTGTGCATCTTCATCTTTCTTCTAAACAATCAGAGACTTTTATGTGTGGCTCCAAAAGTTTCATGACTCATAATAAAGAGCTGAGGTTGGAGAGGAGAAAACTGGCACCCTCATGTTTAAACAGAACTACTGGACGAGTCACCATAAAGGCAAAAACAGAATCATCTTTAGTAAATGTTTTACGAGAGAGACTAAATTTCATAATGTCTCTGACTTTATTTTATAAACCTTTGCACCCTAATCAATTCTGCATCATACAATTATTTGTGTTAATGGTTATTAACAAACATAAATATCACCACCAGCAGCTAAAACTAGCATCCAGGGTTCAAATGTCAAAGGAATGTCCTAATTTAGCCTTCAAAATAATGGCGTAATGCAAAAATAAGCTGTTTAAACTTTTAGAAAACAAGATAGCATTCGCCGTTTTATGATGGTTTTATAATGGTGGCTAAACACTTTCAGCTAGCTGTTAGCTAAGGGAGTTTCTTGGACTATTCATACAAAGGACACGTTAAAAAAACAGCTGAAGACCCTTTAATTTAAAGCTGTTTTTATCTAAATCTTTTATTTTTATATTTTTAACTCAAATTTGTGATCATCTTTCATTTGTTTTATGGTTTTCATATTTAATTTATTTCTGTTTTAAGATCATTATGATTTAATGACTTTATGATTTGTTTTGTTTTGATCTATGTGAAGCACTTTGTGATTTTCTGTCTGTGATGAGTGCTATATAAATAAAAGTTATTTACTGACTTACGAAGGCTGTTCAGAAAGCTATCTACAGGCAAAACGGTGATTATTTTTTACTTTTACAACTCTTTCAATCTCGTCCCTCCCCAGTTACAAGTGGTGTGCCACAAGGCTCTGTCCTGGGTCCCATTCTTTTCACTATCTACATTCTCCCCCTGAAAAATATCTATAACGTCAATGTCCACCTTTATGCAGATGACACCCAACTGTATCTCTCCTCTAAACCAACTGCATCTTTTCCTTCTTCTTCTTCTTTGTTAAATTGTCTACAAGAAGCAAAAAAAGTGGTTCTCTCACAACCTCCTCTAACTTTACAGAAATAAAACAAAATTCCTTCTCATCGGCTCAAAATCCTCAATCAGTAAAACTCCCAAATTTTCTATTTCAGTTGATAACTTTTCTGTTCTCCCCTCATCACAGGTCAAGAGTTTGGATGTCATTCTGGATAAAAACCTCTCCTTCTCAGCTAATATAAAGAACATCACCCGCTCCGCCTACTTTCATTTATGCAAAATTAATCGCCTCACTCCCTTATTTTCCCTCACTGACGCACACTTCCAGGCTTGATTACTGTAACGCACTACTCTCCAGCTTGCCACAAAAACTACTACACAAATTACAACTGGTTCAGAACTCGGCAGCCCATATCATCTCAAGATAACTGTCTTCACACCATATCACACCAGTTCTCAAGCCACTGCACTGGCGTCTAATCCGCTTCCGCAGAGTTCAAAATCCTTTTGGTAAAATTCTAAGTCCTCAAAAACCTCATTGTTTTTAAACTGTGGTACTTATATGTTTTATGTTCAGCAACCTCAGGAGTCTTGAAAAGCACTGACATAAAAAAATGCATTATTATTATTATTATTAATATTACAAAGAAAGACTTTTCTACATAGCCTAAATACTATTTGATTGACCAATAGGTAAGCTGGGACTCAGAAAAGAAGCTAATTTCATCACTCAATCTTTCCTAATAGAGCCAACAGACAACTTTGCTCTGAATCAGACTATCACAAGAGCGTGGTTGTAAGTTTGTCTTATTGAAAGGATACCACCAGCCAGCATGATGGTGGAAATGATGCAGCAGAATAACCTCACGGGTACCACCCAGACTCGGCCTTTGTAGACCAGTGCTCGATAGGTTAAATACACCTGTATCCAGTTGTAGGTCAGGATACAGACGAATGCCACAAGCCCACCAATAAAGTGGGGTATGTAGAAGACTGATGCCTAAAGAGACAGAGGGCAAATATGCAGTAGTCAACAAAAATGGGGTGAATAATAATATGCTTAGCAAAAGTTTCTTCTAGTAGAGATTTATACAGATTTATTCTACTGACATCCTGTGCCTACTAGAATTAACCGTGGCACAATGAACGTCATTTCGGTGATAGAATACTATACTAGCTGAGAATGCAAAGGGAAAACAAACAATGGAGGCAATAAATAGTATGCAAACGACAAAATGTGGGACATTACCTCGAAGTTGGAAGTGACAGACAATCCAATGGGAGCTAACGATCCTACAACAACACTTGCAACATTGACCTTTCCATGGCAACCATAGTCCTGAATCTGCTTATATCGGATCGCCACGGTCATCAGAGCTGTAGGAGAGAGATGGGGGTTGGGAGGTTGATTTGATTATTCGAGAAAAATCCAAAACATTCCAGATTTTCTTTGAGGAAATATATAAACAAACATAAAATCTTAGTGGGTGATTTCTTTTAGGACAGATTTTTACCTAAAACGGCAACAAAATTAAACGTTTGAGAGAAGATAGAGGTCTGAGGTGGGTAAGCAGCACATGTACTATAAAAAGAAGAGCAAGAAATCCTCATTCAGCACTCGTTTATTCATGTCTGAGCTGGATTTTTTCTTACATCAAGTCAAATCCCTTCTCAGAGCAGAACACCAACCTGATTAAGGGAATTCCTCTTGTTAGATTGACTGCTCCATTTTTCACCGCTACTGCACATCTATCGTGGAACACAAAATCATTAAGACTTAAGGCTGCAGTTGCATCTGGTTGTCAGTCAAATCTAACAGTGTTACAATATATAGCTTCAGACTTCAGCAATAGTATATACTACTATACTATAAACATTTTATGTTTTTTTTTTGTAACTTTAACAGTGTCTCATAAGAATAATGAGAAAAATGCTACATTTAGCAACCTTTGGAATTTTAACAGCTACTTCAAGAATATTTAGCAAATTGCTACATTTAGCAACATTTCGAATTTTAACAGCTACTTTACGAATACTTAGCAACTTCTGGAATTTTAACAGCTACTTTTAAGAATATTTTGCAAATTGCTACATTTTGCAACCTTTGGAATTTTAACAGCTACTTTTAAGAATATTTAGCAAATTGCTACATTTTGCAACCTTTGGAATTTTAACAGCTACTTTTAAAAATATTTAGCAAATTGCTACATTTAGCAACATTTGGAATTTTAACAGCTACTTTTAAGAACATTTAGCAAATTGCTACATTTAGCAACATTTGGAATTTTAACAGCTACTTTAATACTCAGCAAATTGCAACGTCCAGTAACTTTTGGTATATTAGTTATTTCAACAAATACTTTTGCCACTGCTAAATATAAACACACTCGTAACAGATACTTTTAAGGATATTTAGCAGTTGTTTGCTACATACGGCAACATTTGAAACAGCTATTTTTAAGAATATATCGAGCACTTTTTCAAATACTTTTTGCCACAGTGTTTTAACAGCGACAGCATGTTACATTAAGTTACATTTACATTTTGCTGCTCATGAAATACGAGAAGTGAGTTTACTAAATGTATTTAAGAAATTATCATATTAAGCTAAGTTTTTATACATTTATCCATTAAATTTTTTTTCAAAATGTATAATCTATTCTACATTTAGGTAAGTCTAAATATTTAAAAACATAACAACATAGATGCTTGTTTTTTTAGATGGCAGGAAACGACATTAGTATTTATATTTGCCAACTAGTCGTTAGCCTATCAGTCTCATTGGAGTTGCTTTGTCTAAAATGGAGGTCCTTTAAAAAGCTAAGAACACCTTTTCAATGAGAAAAAAACATCAAAAATTTTAAATGAGGTATTGCATGTTTTTCCCCATTTTGAGAACTACGTTAAATATAATGTGCCGTTGACTGACAAACTATAAGTAAACATAACCCAACAACTGTACTTCAGGTTTGTTTTCCAACAACAGCTTCACTGAAACAGAATCCATGCTGCAGAACCAACGTCACTTCGTTGAAGTTAAATTTTATAGATTTCTTTTTAAAAGCATATCTACAATAAATAAATGTTAAGATAGACGGAACTCACACTGTCCAAATGCCCACCATTCCAAAGAAGCCAAAGGAGACGGGTATTAATGCCCACAGCCACATACTGTAGTGTAGCAGCTGCTCGGTTCTTAGGACGCTAAACTCACAAAATCAGGAGCCTCACAGACTAAAGGATATAAATAATAGAATTTACTGCAAAATAAAAAAACACTCCAAGAGTTAAAGCATGTGTACTTACGTAGCTGAGGGGTGGCAGGTTTAGAGTGCAACGTTCTCAAAACCTCTAACTTATTTGCTCATTATCTCTGTATTATCGTAACACAAGTACATGATAAACTTCGTGCCACGGCGCTCTGTCCTGCTGCGGTGAGTAGCATCACACTGATTGTTTTTTGGGGATTGAAGATAAAGGAATTTCTATTCCCTCAAGTTTTTCTTTTCACCACAACCAGCCTCATCTGTTTTTAAAAACATTTTGTTTTTTCATCTGCGAGATGCCGTTTGATCACCAAACACGGCAGAATGACGACAACACTCAGATAAACAGGAAATAAAGTCAACAGCTGAGTTTATTGAGGTATAAATAAGCAGTCATCAGGATGGGCTGGTTTCCTGCCGACTTCGTGCACAAAGAGGTGCATTTTTAGGCACGTAGGTGTCACAGCTCAAGTTCTATCTTCACGTCCATCTTGGCCTTATATGGCTCCAGCAGGGGGCGCACCTCTTCAGACAGGAACCTGGCAACCTGGAGACATCAAAGGGAAGAAGTTACAACAGCTTTGATTGAAACAAAGAACTGGGAGGTTTTATGTGAAACATGAAGGTTGGACCCGTCTCGCACTGGATGAGGACCTCGGTCAGATCTTTACGACCTCTAAGAAACACGGCTGGACCTGTGGAGATAATCATCTCCTGACTCTTAGTTCTCTGAGAGACACGCTGTATGCACCACATCCTGGAACAAGTCCTTCAGACCCAGAACACGCTCACGTAGAGCATGACACATGAAAGGGTCGTAGCCTCGCGTTTTCAAAGGCTGCGTTCCATCAGGCTGAGACGTTACCACGGTGAAAACCTACAGACATTCTGACCTCGTCTACCTTTCTTAGTGGCCTAGTGGTAGAGTGTCTGCCCTGAAACTGGGAGATCAGGGGTTCAATTCCTGGTCGGGTCAGACCAAAGACTTTGAAAAAATGGGACCCAATGCCTCCCTGCTTGGCACTCAGCATTAAGGGGTTGGACTGGGGGGTTAAACCACCAAATAGTTCCCGAGCGCGGCTGTGTCTGCAGCTCACCGCTCCCCCAGGGGATGGGTCAAATGCGGAGAACAAATTTCGCACACACACCTGTGTGTGTGTGACAACTAATGGGACTTTTAACTTTTTAACTTTAAAGACCACCCCGGCTGACTATACCTGCTGTGGAGCGCGGCCAACAAAGGTCTTGGGGTCCAACAGAGCGTCCAGTTGGCCCATGATGGGTGTGAAGTAGGGGTCTCGCTGGACTCTGGCCAGCAGGTCGTTGTCCCCGCCCTCCTGCTTCACTACAGCAGCCGCCTCCTGGGACAGAACACGGATCTTCTCATGGCAGTCCTGAAGAAGACAAACAACAATGAAGACAGCTGATCTTACATGTCTACCTCCAGCTGTTGTCTCGGGGTTGCTGCAGCTGCTCCTGAACTTCAGCCTGGTAATCTAGACGACTGGCGACGGTGGCACAGGAGTTAAGTTCTCGCCCCGTAATCGGAAGGTACAGGTTCGAGCCCAGCTTGGTCCGTCGCTGTCGTCGTGCCCTTGGGCAAGAAACTTAACCCGCCTTGCCAGCTGTTGGTGGTTGGAGGGACCGGTGGCGCCAGTGTACGGCAGACTCGCCTCTGTCAGCGCGCCCCAGGGCAGCTGTGGCTATGATGTAGCTGTGTGCTGCGCTTTGGGGGGTTCCAGGACTCTAGAGGGCGCTGTGTCAAATATGGGCCATTTACCTTTATTGCAGCAGTAGCTTAAGATTTTGCTTCGGGTTGGTCAAGCCACGCTCCATCGTAGCCGCAGCAGTCTACCATCGGCTCAGCTACGTTTAGGCTGGGCCAATCACAGCGCTCCATGTTTGTACTGAGGTGTTGGGCGGGGGCTTAGCACCAGCAGAGCGGCGATGGAGCAAAACTTAAAGATGTTGGCGGCTGTGAAAAGGCTTTGGCATCAACTTGGAATGACTTGGACTCTGGCTTTTCTTTGAGACACGAGCAGATAGAGGTACTTCAACCGTGTATGGCGGACTGCCAGATCATCTGATTTCCGTCACTAACCTTCCATTGTTCGTTGCTCTGATTGGTCCTGGCGCTGTTCAGTTGTGTGCAGAGACCGTTTGAAAGACAGCCATAGACTCCGCCCCACGACTGAGCTCTGTCTATGGGTCTTTACCAGACTAGCCAGGCAACCTGAACTCAGCTTCTCTCAACACGATCCGACCCTCCTCTCACCCACCTGTCTATTCTCTCCTGCCTTCACCATCGCCATGATGATGTTCTCCGTGGCCATGAAGGGCAGCTCCTGGCGGATGTGTCGCTCGATGACTTTCGGGTAGACCACCAAACCCTCGGTGATGTTCTGCAGAGTGCTGAGGATGATGTCTGCAGTCAGGAAGGACTCAGGGAGGGAGATCCTCCTGCATAGGAGAAAAGGGTTTGACACGTTCTAGTTACCGCTTGATCCTCACGAAGGTGCACGCCTTGACCAGCTGACCTGTTGGCGCTATCATCCAGCGTCCTCTCCAGCCACTGGACGGAGGCCGTCTGCAACGGGTCGGACATCAGTGCCACCAGATGTCGGGCCAAGCTGCAGCAACGCTCTGCACGCATGGGGTTCCTCTTGTAGGGCATGGCACTGGAGCCTGGAGGGGAAGACGTCTTCGTGTTCAGGGCTCTCACAGGAAATCACGGAGGTGCGAGTTCTGGATCTAAGCATACCTATCTGCTCCTTCTCAAAAGGCTCTTCGATCTCCTTGAGGTTGGCCAACAGGCGGATGTCTGTACAGATCTAAAGCAGACAGTCGTGAGACCAGACTCCACAGACACACCACTAGGTGGAGACATTTCTCCGTCTTGAGCAGCTCACCTTGTGGACAGTGGCGCCCAAACTGGCCAAGCTGGCCAGACAGTCGACGTCCACCTTACGGCTGTAGGTCTGACCGGTCACAAGGTAAGCTCTGGGGAGCAACAAACCACATTTTATTGCAGCATCAAGGCCAGTTTCCCACTGGACTCTGACCAACTGAGAGGAAGCTTCCAAAACATCTAAAACGGTCTCAGTTTTGTCTGACTTTGCTGGAATTTTGAAAAATTCTAAAGATTTTTCTGTCAAATTTCCCCAAAGAACATTCCCAGCATGCGTTGCCATCTGGTAACCAACTATGCTGCTCTTAAAGTCACTGCCATTAGTGCTGATGGGAAACGTTTAACTGGCATGAGGAACTGAACTTGGCTGGCATGTTTACGCTGAAGTGACTCGAGACGACTTGTCGTGACTTGACGCTGAATTACCAAACATCCAAGTCTTCGGTCTCGTCTCGTCTCACTCAGACTTTAAAAACATGACAGGTCTGAGGTAGTTTGACATATTTTGTTCATCTGTCAGTGTGCCCCAGGGCAGCTGTGGCTAGTATGTAGCTCATCACCAGTGTGTGAATGGATGAATGACTGTGCTGTAGCGTAAAGCACTTCGGAGTCCTGACTCAGACAGGTTCTGTACAAGTGCGACTCGTTTATTAATGGTCAATCATTTAACTATCGATTATCAGCAAACAAATGTGGCTTTTATGTAGCTTGAACTCTTATTTATTAGTACTTTTAAGAATTTGGAACTCCGGTTTTTGACTTTTGTGAAGAAATGGTATTTGACATAGCGCCTTCTAGAGTCCTGGAACCCCCCAAGGTGCTTTACAACACAATCAGTCATTCACCCATTCACACACTGGTGGGGATGAGCTACGATGTAGCCACAGCTGCCCTGGGGCGCACTGACAGAGGCGCCACCGGTCCCTCCGACCACCACCAGCAGGCAAGGTCAGTTAAGTGTCTTGCCCAAGGACACAACGACAGCGGCAGACTGAGTGGGGCTCGAACCTGCAACCTTGCAATTACGGGGCGAGCACTTAACTCCTGTGCCACCGTCGCCCACAAGAACAAGTCTGTCTCGTTCTGCAGCGGTCTCTAGACCAAATTCTTGCTTTGCAAAGTTTGGTCTAGGAACGCTCCACTGGAGCCTCTGCAGCCCCCAACAGCATTCTGGCTAGCCAATCACAGCTCTCTAGAGAGGTTTCAAACACATAAAGAGCTGTGATTGGTTCATAACGGTGGGCCAATCATAGTGCGCCATCTGCTTAGTGAACAAATCACAGAGCTTTATCCGCTTTATGGGCCAATCAGGGCACTCTATATGCCTGGTGGGTGGGATGATGCAACAGAGTGAAACAAGATGGCGATGGCTTAATTTTGGACTATTAGAACTTGGGCTTCATTAGAATCAGGAGCAGATAGATGTATTTAACTGCTTTTTATTTTTTTTTAGAAAAAATGATGTGTTTTCTCCTTCAACTGCGGACCGCCTCATTTACCGATAGCTGTTGCGGTGAGTATGTCACATTCATTGTCCAGTAGCATGCGGAGAACATTTGAAAGACAACGGTAGAACCCGCCCCACAGCCGAGAGCAGTCAATGGAAATAAATACATTTATTTAGTCTGGCTTGCCAGGCTAGCGGTCTCTTTTATAAATGAATGCCTCGTGAGTCGAAGTCAAAGGAGAGCTTGTTTTGGAGTCTTACATCCTGATATTCATCATCATCCTTTATGCAGCACCTTTCAGGCATGAGGCATGCCACCAAAGTGCTGCACAGTAACAAATAAAACCACCAAGTAAAACAGAATCAAATCTTATAAAAGGTCAGCAACAACCCACATAGACCCATCCCCTAGAAGTGGGTCTTCAGCCTTGTTTTAAAAACCGCTACCGATGAGGAGAGCCTAACAGATAAGGGCGGTGCGTTCCACAGCTTCGGCCCCGCTGCAGAGAAGCTCTAGGAGCCACCAGCAGCAACCGGCTCTCAGAGCGGAGCACCCAAGGCTGGAGCCAAGCCATTCTGCGCCTTAAGAAGTTTAAAAACAACTCGAACATCAACAGGTAGCCAACGAAGAGCATCTCGGACATCTCTCCTCTGATTGATGAATGTCAGTTTTACACGATGACTTTTCCAACCCAAGCTCTTTCTATTTTCTATCGGCGGCAGGTGCAGGAAATAGGGGTAGATGACTATTTCTACATCTAGCCTGCGTGTAAAACTCGCCGATCGTACTTTAAAAATAAGAAAAAAACGGCTTGAACTTGGCAAGAATTGTATGAATTCCTCATTAAATAAATTGTGCTTTCTTGGGTTGTCACGACTACAGTTAAGATGTCCTGCTGTGGCTTAAAGTACCACAGTTTAAATAAAATGGTTTTCTCTGTCGTTTTAACTTGATTTGGACACTCGCTACTCTGCGTGTCCCGTTAGGATGACGTACGTTCTAATAAACCAGAAAGAACAAAAGTAGCTCCATTCATAAAGGTCGGGAGATCGACAGGCGGATTGGTTCGGCGTCTGCAGTGATGCGGACGCTGAGCCGATCTGTTGTGGTGAAGAGGGAGCTGAGCCAGAAAGCCAGGCTCTCGATTTACCGGTCGATCTACGTCCCAATCCTCACCTATGGTCATGAGCTTTGGGTAATGACCGAACGAACGAGATCGCGGATACAAGCGGCCGAAATGAGTTTCCTCCGTAGGGTGGCCGGGCTCAGCCTTAGAGATAGGGTGAGGAGCTCAGACATTCGGGAGGGACTCGGAGTAGAACCGCTGCTCCTCCGGATCGAAAGGAGTCAGTTGAGGTGGTTTGGGCATCTGGTCAGGATGCCTCCTGGACGCCTCCCCGGGGAGGTGTTTCGGGCATGTCCTGCCGGCAGGAGGCCCCCGGGTCGACCCAGGACACGTTGGAGAGGTTACATCTCCAATCTGGTCCGGGAACGCCTTGGGGTCCTGCCGGAGGAGCTGGTGGAGGTGGCCGGGGAGAGGACGGTCTGGAGCTCCCTAGTTGGGATGCTGCCCCCGCGACCCGGACCCGGATAAGCGGAGGAAGACGACGACGACGTACTTTTTAAATCCTGCCATCTCTGTCACCATCCGGTCAAGCTCTTCCACCTGGTGGCACAAAAAACAAAAAAAACATAAAGAACTTCTTAAGTGCCTTAAACTGGTTCGTTAGGTGGTGCTTTTGGGTTTCCACCTTGTCGTGGTCTCCCTGGAAGAGCTGCAGGAAGCTGGCCTGAGTGCCGGTGGTGCCTTTGACCCCCCGGAAGCGAAGGTCGTCGTGGGCCCGCTGCAGGTTCCTCATGTCCATGGCCAGGTCCTGCAGCCAGAGGCACGCTCGCTTCCCTACGGTGGTCAGTTGGGCAGGCCTGCGCAGAGGGCAGGCAGCACTGAACATGCTGAACGCCGACGTGTGAATTCAGATGAACTACACACTTACTGATAGTGAGTGAAGCCGAGGGTAGGAAGGTCGGCGTATTCCTCTGCGAAGTTCGCCAGCCTGTCGATGACTCTCGCCAGCTGCAGGGAGATGGGTTTCCGCTCTGACTTAACGGTTATGATTCTGATTCGACACCAAGTGCAAAAACTGAGCTAATTTAATGAGTGCAGCCATTAATTCTACCTCGCTGACTTGTTATGAAACAGCTGAGGCTTCGCTGAGATGCACAGATTGGTGTGTGTGTGTGTGTGTGTGTGGTGTGTGTGTGTGTGTGTGTGCGTGCGTGCGTGCGTGCGTGCGCGTGCGTGCGTGCGTGTGTGTGTCCCAGCCAACAGCTGAGCCTCACCTTGGGCAGAAGGATGTCAAATCCATCACGCAGCATAATGAGGTCCTGAGGAAAAGAAGCAGAACAAGCAACAAGAGGATATTTACTTGCGAATCATCATCAAAACCTGAGTTTTGACTAAACAGCGGGATTTACGGTGTTGTCGCCGACGTAACACGAGGTGGCGCCGAGGTGAATGATGGGCGCGGCAGCGGGGCAGCAATGGGCGAAGGTGTGGACGTGAGCCATGACGTCGTGTCTGAGTTTCCGCTCTTCTTCAGCTGCCATGGAGAAGTCAACGTCGTCAGCGTGGCTCTCCATCTCCTGGATCTGAGCGTCAGTGATGGGCAGACCCAGAGCCTGAGGAACACCAGAAAGTGAGATTGTCCCCTCAGAGCCGGAAACCTAACTGAACATCTAAATGACTTTTCCTAATAATCAGTTATTAATAACAGAAGAGCCCTGAAGTGGCTCGTTTTTATATGAGGTACCATTTGTAAAGTCAGCATCACCACCCTGTACTTACTCTGCTCTTCCTATTCCGGTTTTCCCGAGATCCATAGATTTCCCTCTTTCCTACTCCTTTTCTCTCTCTCCCCTTACTTACACACCAGTGTGTAAATGACTGATTGTGTTGTGAAGCGCCTTGGGGGGTTGTAGAACCCTAAGAAGGTGGTGTACAAATACGGGCCATCTACAGGGGTGAACTGGCCTATCTGGCATTCTGGCATTGTCTCGGTGGGCCTCTTAGCCAAGTGGGCCACTTGCCCAGCTTGGGCCGTCCCAAAACAAGCCCCCGTCTCACATGCGGTTATATAGAAAAGTCCGCGAGCAGCACACACAACACCCTGTACCTCCCCCCACATTTGGCGGGATAGACGAGTCGCGATCAGCAACCTTGCCTGCCGAGGGCCGACGGTACATAAAAATGCCAGGGCCAAATTTTGGTCCCAGTCCACCCCTGGCCATCTACCATGAATATTTACCTTCAAATAAAATATTTTCCAAAAACAATGTGTAGTTCCCAGCCAAATATTTGTTTTGGAAAAGAATATTTTTATTTGGAGCAAAAGTTTTGGTTTGTAAACTAAATATGTGTGTAACCCATGTAGAAAGTCAGGATATAAGACTAATCCACATAGTCTGACATGTTAAGCGCTTACTCCACAGGACGTCACTTCCTGTTTAGAAGAGCCGAGTGTCAGCAGCACTAGAGTGCAGAGAGAGACACAAGGCAGACAGCTACAGACATTAACTTAGGACGACAAACAACGAACTGTTGTGAATAAAACAATGACCTGACTACTTTGGACGAGAGATGTGATGAATATTACTGGAGTGTGAGACCAGGAGGATTTACCTTTTCTTTTAACTGCTTGAAACTCCGGTGAGTCCCATACTAGGCTATACTGTTATTGCTAGCAGTGATGGAGTTAAACCTAAATATATTGTTAACTACGTAGAAATAGATGTTTGATAAGGTTAAAATAGCTTTGGGAAATGTTTTGTGACATTTATATTTTGTTTGTGTCCTTAAGTTATGTTTAAAATGTTGGAAAAAAAACTTTAGCGTTATGCTAATGCTAAGCGCGAGATGCTAACGTTTCAGCTAATGGTTAAATTAACAGTTGACAAACTGTATAAATGTCAAATGGATTCATATGTACTGCCTTAATGTTTGGTTTTATGTTACTTGTTAGATCAAGAAAGGTAATTGATGAGATCTCATAAGATTTGACAGAATCAGATAGTCTTTCAACCCTACACTTCTTGTGTAGGTTGTTTTTTTGCCCTCTGTCCGGACGATCAGAACTGTCAGTGATTTGGAAGATTGGATGGCGAGCCCAGCCCAGTGATCCTGAAGGCAGTTGGTGATGCAGTGTGGCCAGCCACGCGCCCTGCCCAGAAATCCTTGAATTATTGCAACAATCTACTGATCACAGATAAGACACTCAAGTTAGCAACCTACCCGGGTAGTAGGAGTAGCAATACTGGAGGACAACGTGAACAGCACACACACACACACACACACACACATACATTTTGGAATCCGAATTATTAACCGGTTGAGCTCAGTTGAATGGACTGATTTGGTTTTTTGAGTGTTACTCCTAAAGAACCTAGGTAAATGTGAATATCTCAACTAAAGTTAGGATAGAGGTGCTACATAAATATGGCGAGCCAGCCAGGAGGAGTTGGATGGTTGAACAGTTGATGTTTCATTGCTTTGTTGCTAATTATTGATTTTGCTGACCTTCAGTTATAAGTGTCACAAGTAGAAGTATGGATGTTATTCAGACTGAGAATATAAAGGAACCAAATTCTGTCTTAGTGAGTAGGTTAATTGGTAAGGAGATAGACAATGAAGTCATTGAGTATTTAGGACGGATCGGTCCCATCCAAAGGGTCATTACTGTTACCAGTACTGAACACCAGTTTAAAGACACAGCCATTGTTGAGTTCAAGTCAGGTGAGCCTGTACAGTTTTTGCAGGACACCTTGCCCTGTAACAGACCCACTACCAACCCAAGTAATATTAGACAGTAAATGTCTTTCTGATTTGTATGCAGCCGACAAAGGCTCAAACTTGACCCACACTTATTTGGCCGAACTGAAAGCTGTTGCCAAGCTAAGTGGGGCAGATTTTGAAAAGGTTTTGCTGGATGAGCTGGCCAGAATTCAGGAGTCTACTAAGCAATGTCAGACAGAAAAGCAAGCTTAATTTAATGCTGATTGTGACTCTCGAGTAGCCAATGAAAGAACCCCAGCTGAGGAAATGGCTGAACCAACCCCGGTTCCTACAAACATAGCCACTGACTCATCTCCCTTACGTGAGCCTGACCCACTCTCAGTCACTGTAGGTGCAGAGGCACTGCCTTCGCCTAAGAAACGACCCTTATATGTACCTTCAGAACAGCCCACCACCCCTGAAGTCCAAAGGGTGGTAGTTGAGCACGTCATCAGGAACAGTGACGTGATTTCCCAATACCACACTCACACCAAGCTCAGATGCTTTTCGGGAAGAATTCCTTGTCCTAGTATGGAGTCTGATTATGAGACATGGCGCAACAACGTTGAACTCTATCTTGGAGATCCTTCTATGTCTGACAAAGTCATTGTTAGGAAAATAATGAGCCTAGTCTCACATTTGATTTTGGTGAGTCCCCTCTTCCACGTGAATGGAAAGAAAGAATAACAAGGAGTCTCAACACTTATGCTGATGTCTTTGTGCAGCATGACTTAGACTTTGGGCATACATCCAAAGTTAAACATCACATTCAGTTGAAAGACAGCACAACCTTCAAGCAGAGATCAAGATCAATACATCCCAATGATTACGAAGCTTTAACAAAACACCTGCAGGCCCTTTTGGAGGCAGGTGTGATCCGTGAATCGGAATCACCATATTCTTCTCCCATTGTGGTAATCCGGAAAAAAAATGGAGAGGTCTGTCTCTACATTGATTACAGACAGTTGAATTCCCTGACGATACGCGACGCGTACGCACTTCCTCATCTTGAAGAGGCCTTTTCAGCCCTGGCCGGTTCCAAATGGTTCTCTGTAATGGACTTAAAATCTGGGTACTACCAGATAGAGATGGAGGAATGTGACAAGGCTAAGACCGCCTTTGTGTGTCCCTTAGGGTTTTACGAGTTCAACCGAATGTCCCAGGGTATCACAAATGCACCTAGTTCCTTCCAACGATTAATGGAATGGTGTATGGGTTGTCTTAACTTGAAGGAAGTGCTAGTATTCCTGGATGATGTCATTGTGTTTTCAAACACCATAGAGGAACACGAAGCCCAGCTTTTGCATGTTCTCCAACAGCTGCGAGAATATGGCTTGAAGTTGTCGCCGGCAAAATGCACGTTTTTCCAGACCTCAGTCCGTTACTTGTGACACATTGTTTCGGACCAAGGAGTTAAAACTGACTTGGAAAAAGTTCAGGCTTCACACACATGGCCGCGACCCCAGACACTAAGTGAGCTCAAGTCATTCCTTGGTTTTGCAGGGTATTACCACCGCTTTGTTAAAGACTATTCAAGGATAGTCAAACCCCTGAATGACCTCACTATAGGTTATCCGCCATACAAAAAGGGCAGGAAAGCAATACCTTCCTCTGCTGGATTTTTCAACCCCAAAGAGCCCTTTGCTAATCGGTGGACACCTGCTTGCCAAGAGGCATTTGAGACAGTCAAAGACAAGCTCACATCAGCACCTGTCCTTGGATTTGCAAATTCAAAACTTCCTTACATTCTGCACAAAGATGCCAGCACATCTGGATTAGGTGCTGCCCTCTACCAGAATCAAGACAACACAATGCACGTTACAGCGTACGCCAGGAGAGGACTCTCATCAAGCGAAAGACGCTACCCAGCCCACAAGCTGGAATTCCTAGCACTAAAATAGTCAGTTGTTGAAATATTTCACAATTATCTTTATGGAAATATGTTTATGGTCATAACGGACAACAACCCGTTGATGTATATTCTTAAGTCAGCCAAACTTGATGCCGCCAGTTACCGCTGGCTTGCTGCGCTTTCCACATTTGATTTTAACATCACCTATCGTGCTGGTACGAGCAATCAAGATGCAGATAGTCTTTCTAGACGCCCTCATGACACCCTTCCAGATGATCAGGAATCCCTCAAGGAGAAAGAGCAAATGAAGAAGTTTGCCTCCCATCATCTTTCTTCTTCTATTGACCAATTTGACCTTCCAGCAGATGCAGTCACTGCTGTGTGCAGCCGACACATAAGTGACATCTACAACGACTTACCTTTCCCAACCTTGGTGGAGTCTCTAGCACTGCACACAGATGCAGTACCAGACGTCTATGTAGACTCTGAGACGCTGGGATGCTCTATCATACCCGCGTTTACCGAGAATAATCTCCGGGAACACCAGGGGTCCGACCCAGTCATTGGACAAGTTGTCAGTCTGTTGCAATCTGGGAGTAAGACAGTTGACGATCTTAAGCCTGACTCATTGGAACTTAAGCTTGTGCTTAAAGAGTGGAAACAGTTGGAACTGAAAAATGGTTTCCTCTACAGATCAAGACAATCAGAAGGTGAAACCACTTGCCAGTTTGTGGTCCCTAAGTCCTTGAGAAACATAATTCTCACCAGTCTCCATGAAGACATGGGGCATATGGGTCTAGACAGAACACTTGACCTTCTCCGTGCACGATTTTACTGGCCAAAGATGGCTCAGGATGTAGAGAACAAGATCAAGTCATGTGGACGTTGTGTTAGAAGGAAAACCCCTCCTGAAAAGCCTGCACCTCTCGTGAACATTCAAACAACACGCCCCATGGAACTAGTGTGCATAGACTATTTGTCTCTGGAACCCGATGACAA